GCCCAGCAGGTCGAGGCTGCGGTGGCCAGGAGTATGCCACTGCACTCCAGTCTGGGCGACGGAGTGAGACTCCAACTCAAAAAAAACAAAACAACAACAACAACAAAAAACCTCCCCTGGTTTTAATCCTGTCCCTGGGAGTTTGGAGGAGGTAGTGGGGTGTTTTGGCCAAGTGAGTCTATGAAAGCCATAGCTGTGAACTGAAGCCTTCCATCAAGTCCTCTGACACGTAGGAACTCAGCCAGGGCTATAGATAATACCCTGGGGAACAGGGAATAAGAGCAAGGGTGGGCAAGTCAGGTGCTGCTGGAATCGTGCTGGACAGGCCAGACCCTCAAAGAGGCCTCCTCAGGTTCCCATCTGCAAAGGAGCAGGGCTGGGGCCTGGGACCTGAGTGGCTGAGTGGTGGCCAAGCTGAGTGGAGGCCAGGCTGTGTGAAGTCTAGGCCAAGTAGAGGCCAGACAAATGGGGAGGGCTAGCAAGGGCAGCAGCCACCCAGGGATGGGTCATCCGTCAGTCTCTCCAGGGCTGCCAGGCAGGCCTGGAGCAGCGAGACCATCAGGGAAACTATAGAGTCCCTGGACCCAGCCAACTTGGCAGACAAAGGCCAGATGCAAGGCATGTGTCCTTGAGTTCTTCCTACGTGCTGGCACCTTATATGTGTCATCTCACTTATCCTCATGGTGATTTTGTGAGGTGGATCCATGCACTCCATTATCAGGTGGGGTAAGTGAGACACAGAGTTACACAGTTTGTTCGAAGTCACACAGCCAACAAACTCAGGTTGGCCCGAATCCAAACCCCCATGCTAACCACCATGCTGCCCTGCCCCCAGAGACAAGAGTAGCTACCAACCCCCAAAAAGCCTGAGATCCGGGGGGACGGAAGGCCCTCTGGCCTCACATCTGCAAGAGCCAGAGAATGCCTTGAGAAGGCAGCCCCGGGTCAGGGCGAGGTGCGGCAGACAGGCCCAAGCTGTCCAGGAGGAGCTGTCCAGGGAGCAGGGGCCAGGCCTGGCGGTCATGCAGAGCCGGAGATGGGCTGCCCTGCACCTTGGGCCTCACGCCTGCTCCCTTGTGGTGTTCAGTTACGGCCAGCTCGGCGCTTCCCCGGTCACGCCACATTTAGCATCGCCGAGTGAGCAGGCGCCAGGACATTGAGAAGGGGTGGTGAGGACTCTTGAAGAGGCGGGAGAGCCTCCCCCCAGGCCCCCACCTGGACCCCAGCTACCAGCCCCCTCCGCCACCGATCCCTGTGGGACTTTGGGCAAATTGCCTCCCCTCCTTATCCCCATGACCTCCTCTGTCAAGCCAACCCCAGGCAGGGCACTGGGGAGGGGGGTGCAATAGAGGCCTTTCCTCTCTCCCAGAGCTCCCAGAAGTGTGTGGCCTGGGAACTGCACAGCAGCCCTCCCTGCTCTAGCTTGGCTCCTCTAGTTAGAAGGGGTAAATGTGAGCTGGGCTCAGTGGCTCAGCCTGTTATCCCGCACCTTTGGGAGGCTGAGGTGAGGGGATTGCCTGAGCCCGCGGATTCGAGATCCTCCTGGGCAACTTAGAGAGACCTCATCTTTACACTAAATCAAAAATTAGCCGGGCATGGTAGCGCGCGCCTGTAGTTCCAGCTACTCGGAAGGCTGAGGCGGAAGGATCGCCGGAGCCCAGCAGGTCAAGGCTGTAGTGGCCGGGAGCGGTCATTGCACTCCAGTCTGGGCGACAGAGTAAGACTCCAACTCAAAAAAAAAAAGGGGGAGTAAGTGTGACCCTCAGGCTTTTCTTGCTTCCAGCCCCCCCAGCTTATCCCACCTTGACTCTGACCCCACCACATGAAGAAACCACAAGACAGTGCAGACCCCAGAGTCAGACAGATCTGAGTTCAAATGTCAAGGATTAACTGTGTGACTTGGGCAAGTCAAGTAACCCCTCTGAGCCTCCGTTTCCTTAAATCTGGCAAGTGGGATTAATAATGTACCTTCCTCACGGGTTTGTGCTGATAAACCCATGAGAAAATCATCCAACTCATTTACACAGTGGCCAACTCAGGGCAGACTCTCAGCAAATGGTAGTTTTTATCAGAGACCACTTGGGCAAAGAGGAGTCAACTCAAGAGAAACTGCTCTTTGTAGGTGGTGAGGGGAGTCAAAGGGCTGAGGATAATAAGAGCCACATAATAATGATATTCATAAAGAGAACTGACACTTATCAGCACTGAATATAGCTAGACACTGTGCTAAGTGCTTTCTGTGCATGATTTCATTTGATACTAACAACATCCCTTTGAGATGGGGCCTATCACTCTCCCTGTTTTGTAGATGATGATGTTGGAGTGTAGAGCGTTTTGCTGACATGGTGAGGAAGGGCTGAGCTCGACTCTGAACCCTGAGTCCTCTTAACCACTCCTCTCTGCCGGGGACAGGGTTTTTCTGTGATTTCAGAAGGTCTGAGCAGAAAAGTCCTCCGATATCATGTAATCCAAGCCCCTAGTTTTTCACGGAGAAACTGAAGCTCAGAAAGGGTCAGTGGCCTACACAGAGTCACAAGTAAGAGAGTTTGGAGGACATAGGTGAAAACAGCACTTGCGCCAGGCACAGTGGCTCATGCCTGTAATCCCAGCACTTTGGGAGGCCGAGATGAGAGGATTGCCTGAGCTCACAGGTTCGAGACCAGCCTGGGCAATTTGGCAAGACCTCGGCTCTACAATAAATCAAAAAAACTAGCTGGGTGTGGTGGTGCATGTCTGTAGTTACAACTACTTGGAAGGCTAAAGCCGAATGACTGCCTGAGCCCAGCAGATTGAGACTGAGGTGGCCGTGAGCATGCTGCTGCACTCCAGCCTGGGCAACAGAGTACGACTCCAACTCAAAAAAAGAAAATAGCACTCGCCAGGTGTTGCAGGGTGGGCTGGGGTCATCCCCAATGCCTGCCAGGCTCATGGGGCCACCAACCAGGGCCCTTTGAGTCCCCAGCTGTGCACTGACTGCGATCATGCCAGCCAGGCTAAGGATCTGAGGGTCACATTGCAGGACTAACCTCTGCTGAGGGCTGAGTCACCTGCATCATGGGGATTGCTCCTGTCCCAAACCTAGGTCAGACCCACCCCCCAGCCTTCCCTCCCCTCAGGACCACCAACTTGCCCGGTCACTGAGTGAAGTGTACCTGCCAGGGTTACCTCACCTGGCCCTACAATATTGACACAGGAGACCAGTCTCAAAGATCCAAAGGCAGGGTCTCATTGGGGACCAGGGTCTTTCGGGTTCAGTCTCTACAGCTGCAGAGCTCAAGAGCAGCCAAGCCCCCTCCTCCTGACTCCCACCTGGCTCACTTTGCTCTTTCTCCACAGGTGTCTGTTTCTCTGTCTTGCTGTCTCATTGTCTGTTTCCTTCTGCTTCTCTCAGTTTCTCTTTCTCTCTCTCTCTCCCTGTGTGTATGTCTCTCTCTCTCTCTCTCTCTCTCTCTCTCTCTCTCTCTCTCTCTCTCTCTGTCTCTCTCTCTCTTTCTCTCCTCTCTTTCTTATCAGATGGCTAGCTGGAGGCAAAGTCTCACCCAGGGATGGGGTAGGAGTAGAGGTGGTAGCTCTGGGATTGGTCACTTCTGGACATTGGTCCTCACTCTTACTGCAGACGGCTTTCTTCGAGGCCAGGACTGGGTGATGGTGTCGCTACTCCCGCCACAGTCTGACGTCACGCTGCCAGGCCCTGCCAGACTGGAGGGCGAACGCCAAGGGGACCTCATGCAGGCACCGGGCCTCCCAGGATCCCCTGCCCCACAGAGTGTAAGTACTTGGTGTCAAGGCCTGGGCTTAGGTAGGCCAGTCACCCCCACTCCCAGGGAGCTCCCAGGGTCTGTCTTGTCCTTTCCACCACAAACAAGTACTCAAAGACCCCCCAAATCCAGAATGTTCAGATCTAGGCTTCTGCCCATCCCTTCAGTTTGGGGTTTTTGCAGGGCAGGGCTGTGAAGCCCCATCAGACTTGAGGCAGCCCAGCTTTAGGGGCAGGGTGTCCTCATGAGATTGGGGTTCCCAAGGGCAGGCATGTCTTCTCCATCACTTGGGGGCTCCCTAGAGCTCAGTCACAGATTTCTTTACTCCAGCACAGCGTAGGGTCCTGGCAGGTCCCTAGGCCTGGTCCAACCTCCACTAATAGGCTCTCTACCCTCTGTCTACCCAGAAGCATGCCGGCTTCAGCTGCTCGTCATTTGTGCCTGACGGCCCTCCAGAGAGGGCACCCTCACTGCCCCCACACAGCCCCAGCGTCGCGTCACCAGGCCCCGAGCAAGTCCAGGGCCACTGCCCAGCTGGCCCCGGCCCAGGCCCCTTCCGGCTGTCACCCTCGGACAAGTATCCTGGCTTTGGCTTTGAGGAGGGCCCAGCAAGCAGCCCTGGGCGCTTCCTCAAGGGCAGCCACGTGCCATTCCACCCATACAAGCGGCATTTCCATGAGGACGTCTTTCCCGAGGCCCAGACCGCCCTGGCCCTTGATGGACACTCCTTTAAGACCTCAGGGGCACTGGAAGCCTTCGAGGAGATTCCCGTGGATGTTGGGGAGGCCGAGGCCTTCCTGCCTGGTTTCTCAGCAGAGGCCTGGTGCAACGGGCTCCCCTACCCCAGCCAGGAGCATGGCCCCCAAGTCCTGGTGAGTACAGTGGCCAGTGAACATCCCACCTCCCCCGCCCCCATCCTGGCTCCTGGCAACCTAGAAAGAATCCTCTGAGGACTTCCCTTTTCAGACTTTGCCACTTAAGATCAGTGTGCAAGCCGGGCTCGGTGGCTCAGCCTGTAACCCCGTACCTTTGGGAGGCTGAGGT